AAGATCCTGAAAAAAGATTTTTGTCTGCAAAACAATTATTATATATTGCTCAAGGTGGTGTATTATACTCGTCGTTCCGGATTATTTTGAGCAAATTACAAGTCAATTTATACTTGGCTGATCCTCGAATTCAGGAACATTTAGTGAAACTATAACACAAGAGCAACACCTTGAATGGATCATTGAAAACAACAAGTTGCTACGAAAATGCGGGGCTCTCCTCTCATATTTCCAAGCTCTGAAGCTGGCGTGTCATGCATATGATTATTATAGGTATTTTACCTACCAATTGACTTTCTCTCCAACATATGTATACTATCAACTAATTACTATCAATATATGAAGCCGTCCGGATTTTAACGTGGATAGACAAGCATATATCGACGACATAAATACTGAAATTGGTTTCTACTTGACATTATTATATATGCTTGTCGAAACTCATCGAGGGGACGATTCATTTGGAACTGAACTTGGTTGGTTTATTAATATTTTGAATTATAATTTAAATGCAATTTCATAATATCTGATATCTTAACTGCAGATTACCTATTTAGCTGAACTTAATCCGCCAATGGCTGTATTCCTGTTTGAGATAGTTGCTTCATTACGAGAAAAAGAAAAGAACGCCAAAGGCTATCCTGTTAAAAAGGTGACTTAAAAACTTTTATTACGACCAATAATTTTACATAAGCTAAGGTGCTGACACGTAGATGGAACTGTCTAAACAAATACGAAAGTTTCTCCTTCTATTATGGAAAGTTATTTTAGCAAGTTTAGGCGGATTAAATGATATGCCGAGACTGAAAAATGCTGTTAGATCAATTGCCCGGGTAACTAATTTATATGTTTACAGTACTTTTTAAGAATGTAACGTTTCACTAATAAAAGATCAGTCCAAATAAAATTTATCATTCTTGGCTTTAACGAAGTAACTGTGCAAAAGATCAGACTCCCGGAGAGCTTCACTTAGAAGACAAATTTATTGGACCATACACAAAATTTATATTATATACAGCATATACTATAGACAATCTGTCGATTAATGTAAGGTAATTTATTAAATCATACTCAAAGGAAATTTAAACAAAAAATTAATAGTTTTAACTCCCTTTGTAGTAAATTTTTCTTGGTATGTTATTATATATAAGAAAAAAAAGGTTTTTTCGAAATTATTAAATTTACGTTTACTGGTTGATTTATTTAGCATAATATAGAAAGTATTGTTCGCTTTTACAAAGCCCCAGGCTTTATCTCTTAATTTTGCGACTTGAAATTTTCATATTTATGTTCAACAAGATAGAGTTTGGAACCGGTTTTAATCGGTTTT